TTCTTTTCTAGCCAGCACCTGTCCCTGCACTTACATTAGAATTGTCCTTTGTTGGGATAATTTGCTTTTAATCTTTAGGAAACAGTATTTTAGGGTTTCTGCTCATGGTGTCATATCCTTAGGTTTGTTGCATGACGGTGGTGATGTCACACATGGAAACAGGCGTTTATCTGCTTGAGTTTACTCTTCTGTAGGGTGTGGGGCAGGACCTGATTCTCACTGCTGCGTGTGTCTGTCTGCTTCTCCCAGCACCATCTCTCCACTTTCCCTGCTCCAGTGCCTGCTCTGGCTCCTCTGTCGCAGAGTCACTGTCCATCCTGATGAGGGTGGGTTCCTGGCCCTTGTTATATTCCAGGGGTCTGTTTTTGTCCCAGTGCCATGCTGATTTAAATATTAGAGCTTTATTGTATGGACTGGAGTCTGGAGTGAGCTGCCTCCATTCTTCCTCTTTTTGTCAGTGTTGTTTTGGGTGTTCGGGGTCTTTTACTTTTCAGTAATGTTTGTTTTATATCCTTGGAGAATGCCACTGAAGTTCTTATTGGGATTACATTGAATCTTCAAAATTGCTTTGTGTCAGATGGGCATTTGGTAATGTTGATTCTTCCAAGCCTAGAGCGGGGAATATCCTTCCATTTCTTTGTCGATTTTATTTCTTTTAACAATGTCTTTTCTTTTATCTTCACCTCATTTTTTAATTTACTCCATGTTAGTTAGTCTAGTGATTATAAGTGGGATTGTTTTCTTCAATTCTAGTTCATTTTGTGCATATAGAAGGCAGTTGATTTTCGTGTGTTGATTGTGTCAGCTTCCAACTACACTGATGTGGCTCATTGCTTAATTTGTTGTTTTCGGTGGAGTCTTTAGTGTTCTTAGTGTATATTATGTTGTACAACTGTTTAAAATGTGCTTAAATATTTAAATTCATACAATCTTGAGGCAGTTAATATTTTAATTTAAATTTTTATTTATTTTATACACAAGTGGAAAATGTAGGCTATGAATAGTCTCAGCATATGTTTATAATACCCTGATTCAGGTTCTTAATTCAATACATGTATTGAATTCTCCTCATATCTCATAACTTTATTGTCATTATATCCCATAAATTTTATTGACCAGTAAACTATGACAGTATCAAGAATTAATTTTAACAGTTATTTATCATCAGATAAATAACATGCCAAGGATTTAAAAAAAAAAAAAACAGTAGCAATTGTCAACCCAGATGTTTATGTATCAAGATGATGTCATCTTTTAACCATTGCGGGCTGCCTCCAAATTTGACATGTGCCCTGTGGGACTCGCCTGGGCTGAAGGCAAGGTCAGCCTGATGCCCTCAGTGGGTGACCTGTGTGAGAAACAGTTAAAGGGCCTGATGTCCAATTGGGACTACATTTTATATTGAAATACTTTGGTGTGAAATTTTTAAACCTTGGACATCATGACGGGAAACCATAGGTGGATGCAGTCAGCAGAGAGGAGCTGAGGCCAGACAGCAAGTTCACTCAGGGGCTTTTCACTTCCCCAATTTAAACCTGAAATTCTTTATGTCTTTTTTTTTTTAAAGATTTATTTATTTATTTATTTATTTGTACAAGCACTGGGTACAGTCAGAAGTGCGGGAGGGTGAGAGAAGTCACCAGAGCCAGAGCGGGGAGCAGAGCAGGCAGACAAAGTACACTGCTGAGGGGAGCAGCAGGTGGCAGGAGAGGTTGCACGCCATGTGGGACCCTCGCCTGGTGGCCGGGGAGCAGCCGGGGATTGAACTGTCTTCGCAACCCAGTGCTCAACCGCTGCACCACTGCGGAGGCCCAAATTCTTTATGTCTTTACGTCTACACTAAATGATAATATCATTCATGATATGTAAATCTGATGAGTTTTCTTGTTTGAAGAACTCCACATGGAAACACAAACACTCTGGGTGAGATCCCTGTAATAAGGTGCCCAGAAGGACACTGTCCTCAAATTCCCAGGCATTCTAGGTAATTAAATAAATGTGGATAATCACACGTGTGAAGTGCGGTGTGAGGTTGTGAGTGCCGTTCCTCAACTGTTCCTGGAAATATTAGACTATTGTGCAGTCCACGTGCTATTATTTTGATTTTACCATTATAGTTTGCTAAATTCCTTTATTGTTTCTTTTAAAAAAATATTTATACAACAGCTGGGGTACAGGACAGAGGTGTGGGGGGTGAGAGCTGGGGTGAGAGGTGTTGGGGGTGAGAGCCAGATTGACCGAAATACACTGCTGAGGGGAGCAGCGGGTGAGGCAAGAGAGGTCTGCCACACCATGTGGGTGGCTCCCTGGCTGGCCGGGAACTGCACCAGTGCTGCAGAGTCTGCGGACAGCTTTATAGCACTGTGCTGCACCCACTGTACGTACCATCAGGGACTCCCCATTACTGTTTCTTAAAGAACCCTACCCACTATATATTGTCAGTTTTAGTGATTTTACTGCACTTGAAAATAATAGCTTTCAAGTCACTGTCTTATTTCTGATGTTCACTGTGCTTGGTGAGTTTATGGAAAATGCCTAAGGTACCCACACCAGAGCTTCTGGGAGGGTTTCCACCATGTAACGTGTGGTCCTTATCGACAGAAGGTCATGGATACTCAATTCACTATGGATCTTCGGGCCTTATTTATTCTGTGTAGGCCTCACTCACCAACTAAAGGGGACTCTATCCTAACCGTGTCCCCTGATCCCACACGTGACCCTGAGGGTCAGTGACATTAGAGGGGAAGCTGCCTTAGAGACTGGAGATGCTGCCCCAGTGAGAAAACCTCTGCTGACGACTGAGATGAAACCCAACCATCGCCCCTATTGGCCGGAAGCACAGAAATGGGGAACAGCAAAGAGTGGCTAGAAATTCAAACACGAGTACACACAGAATATCAAAGAACATCTAAGTGTTAACAAGAGAAACCTTTAAAGCTATAGGGGTATATGGAGTCATCTTAAATATAATTTAAAAATAAGAATATATCTTTAATTATGAAATGGAATTACATGTAACTATACAAATATAAAGGGGAGAATGATGTGAAATTTTAAAATATGTCTCTCATAATGGAGTCATGACTCATCTTCTCTAATACATTTTGGTGAGTCTCCCCTTCATCAGTCTCCCCACCGCCGACTTCATGGCTTGGTTCCTCAGACTGTAAATGAGGGGATTAAAGGTGGGGGGCACCACCGTGTAGAACATAGAAATGACCAGGTCAGACATGGATGGGGTCTCTGAGGTTGGCTTCAGATAATCAAAGAGCCCAGCGGAGAGAAACAGCACCACAACCAGCAGGTGGGGAAGGCAGGTGGAGTAGGCCTTGGCTTTCCCTTCTGTGGATGGGATCTTCCTGACAGCAGAGAAGATGTGGACATAGGAAATGATGATGAAAATAAAACAGCACATACCCCAGACCACACAAATGAGAATGGGGACAAGCTCGCTCATTAAATTTTCTGAACAGGAAATAGCCAATAACTGGGGGATGTCACAGAAGAACTGGTGGACCACGTTGGACCCACAGTAGGACAAGGAGAAGGTACCAGCTGTGAACATCACAGCATAGAGACCCCCACTCAGCCAGGACACAGCTGTCAGCTGCACACACCTGTCCATGCTCATGATGACCTCATAGTGCAGGGGGTGGCAGATGGCAGCATAGCGGTCAAGGCTCATCACCGTGAGGAGGCACATCTCTGCACCTGCTGACATAATCAGCACAAAGACCTGGATGACACAGCCCGGGAAGGAAATGGAGCTGCTCTGCCTCAGAGAGTTGGTAATGAACTTGGGGACCGTGGCTGAGATGAGGCAGAGGTCCGAGAAGGACAGACTCCTCAAGAAGAAGTACATGGGGGTGTGGAGGTGCCAGTCCAGGGTGGTGATGAGAACGATGAGCCTGTTCCCCAGAAGGGCACACAGGTAGACCAGGGAGAAGAGCAGCGGGTGCAGGAAGCCCATGGTCCCCTGGGTGGGGAACCCCAGGAGGACGAATTCTGTCATGGCTGTGAGATTGGTTACCCCTGGAGCCATCATCTGTGTAAATGTGGGGAGGTAGAAATCATCACTGCCCCATCTCCCCAGGTGAACATAACTGAGCGCCTTAAGTCAATATCAGCAGCTCCTCAGCACCCACACGCCTTGTCCTCAGGAGTCTGATCCCCAGTCATTCTCCCAGCAGCACCGTCCTGTCAAACCACTACATTTGCAGCTCTTCTGAAAGCAAACCATCATGTTGTCCAAACAATTCATATGAGGGACATGAACCACCACAAACTGTCCTCCCCTGTCTGTCACTGATCCACCCAGCACAGAGGACTGAGCCATCCCTCTGGCCCCACACCCCAGCCACTCGGGGACCCGGGTCAGGCCCATCAGATCCGCGGCCACTTCTGAGCAGGAAACTCACTGATCCTCTCCCTCCACCTAGAAACCTGTACCCCTTCGCCCTGCCCTCGAGACACTCACTGTGGAAACCGGTAATGTCATGGGCGTCAAGGCTCAGTGTACACTAAGCAGCCGCGTTCCCAGCATAGCCCCCACATGCTCCTGGCAGAGCCGCTCAGGTCTATGTCCTGTGCTGCTTCTCCGCTCACTGTCCCCACGTTCAACCTCTGGGAGCCAAGGCTGGGACGCTGGCCACCAGCTTGTCTCGTCATGATGTCCCATTAAAGGACCTTCCTCCACCTCTAGTGTCTCCCGCAGAGTCTCCTCCTGGGTCACCCGAACACGTCCCTCCTACAGGATGGACTCATCCACCCCAGGTCCCTCCCAGCCCCTCTGTCACCCTCAGACTCATGCACATCTGTGCAGGGAGGAGGCTGCTCTGGGGCTGAGCCGGACAGTCTGTGCGTGTGGCTGTCCCTGCCAGTTCCAGGGCCCCGGGTCCCCGGGGTGCGGGTTTGTCCCTCCCTCCAGGCCCGGGCGTGAGTGGGGATATTTGGACATAGGGCAGCCCTGCCCATTCTCCCCCTGCCCATTCTCCCCCTCCCCAACCTCACCCTCTCCCCATTCTGTGGGGTGGCAGAGGGGCAGGCCCTGGGGAGGCAGGACTTTCAGGAGAATGCGCTGAAATGACCCAGATGTTTGAACTGAAAAGGGAATAACTGAGCACAGTCTGTGGTCAGGGCTTGGGATTCTTCTGAGTGACGTTGAACTCAAATGTCTCACGACAGATACACAAGCCCCGTCTCTGCCAGGGCCCTGATCAGCTACGGGGACACCTTCCTGTCACAGTGTGAGACTGTGTCCTGCGCGGAGGGTGATGGGTCGGATCCCCCTGAAAGCGCATGTCCAGTAACGGACACAGTCGTGGCTGTGCCGCGTGTTGAAAGAAAGATCCGTCTCCCCAGATGCTGCCTCAAGCCCCTTGCCTATCACTCCCCTGACGCCGCGTCCTGCTGGCAACAGACAGGCCCAGCACCCCTGTCCTCAGAGCATCCCCACCCCAGCAAGGGGGTGGCTCCCTGTGAGAGGGGCCCCGAGTGTGCTCCGAGTCTCCACTCCCTGCCCCCCCAAATCCCCCCAGCCCTCCAGTCCCCCCGGGCAGGAGAGGACATTTGGGTCTGGAGGGAACTGGCTCCTCTGAGTGCGGGACCTGCTGTGGCCCGGAGCCAGGCCAGGCTCTTCGTGGCCCCGTCACTGCCAGCAGTGTCCCTGGACTCTCCCCATGAGTCCTCCCCCATGGTCGTGGACATCCCTGACTGTCGTGGCTCTTTCCTTTCTGGCTCCTCCCTGGCTCCGCGCCCACGTCACAGGTATGAGCGGCGATGGTCACAGACACGGTTGTCGGGCCCACCCCCTGGTTCTTGGGCTGTTGCCTGGTGCCCGGAAGTTTCTGCTGATTATTCAGCTAATGTGGGTCAGGCAGGAGCCTACGGTCAGGACAAAGTCTTGGTTTGAGCCCACCTGCTGGGAACACAGGCAGACCTGGCACCAGAGCAGCTTCGCCAGTGACCACTGTGACAGGAAGGAAGCGGTGACAGGGCTAGACAAGGGCAAGGGTCGTCCTGAGGGAGTGACACGGAGCCCCCGCAGCAGCTCCCGTTCCCTCCCCCAACTCATGCCAGACATTTAGCATCCCCATCCCCACCCACCATGCACCCCACACCTTCCTCACAGACACGCCTGCATTGCCTGAGTGTGACCCCAAATACAAGTGAGGCCTGCCACGGGAGCGGTCACATCCAGACACATCCGGACACCAGCTCCAGAGCTCAAATAGCCCAACCCTGAGGCGCTGCACTGCCCTTGAGATGGGAGCAGGATGGGGTGGCCCTTTATGAGTATCTGCTTGCACTTGGAGTCATTTTTACTCTGCCCCGCACCACCCCCAAGGCTGCCATCCATGTGAGGCGACACTGTACGTGAAATGCCTCTAATATCACAAATGTATTCCAGGAAAAATCTTCTAAATGCCTTAAGTGAGAAGAAAACATATTTTCTCACATTGCAAGTCATCTCAGCACAATACGGCATTGAGAAGTTGAACATTGTATAACGTTAGCATCAGTTTTCGCTATTTAGAAAATGAATAGTTTATGACACTTCCTCAAGTCTGAAATAAGGCATGAGCTCTAAAGTCATTCAGGTCTCAGTGGATTCTCCCCTGCAAGTGGCTGGGGGCAGATACCTGCAGTCTGGGGGGAAGTTCCTGCTGCCGTGGCCTGTCTCTCTTGAGCTTGTCCCCATGGCGCGGACAGAGGGCATCCCGGCCTCTCACTCCATGGTCGGGGTTCATGGGGAGCCTCTGTGCACACACAGGATGTTGCACCCCGTCCTGCGCCGCCTCATGGACAGAGCAGGGCCTCAGGGCTGGGCTATTTGAGCTCTGGAGCTGGTGTCCGCGGGTTGGACACGGTCCAGATTCCAGCCCTCAAGGACCTTCCTCCCGAGGGACAAGTGCCCTTGTTCAGGTCACTGTCTTAATTGGTGTCATCCTGTCTCACATCCCAGTGAGCAATTAGCGCCCTGAGTGTGTCAGAGGCGATTTTGTGTGTGTTGTGACCCTGTAGGAAAGGCTTGTAATTAATGTTCCACAAAGGTCTCTTTCATCATCACTGTCCGGCCTCAGGGGACCCAGGAGTGGCCCTGTCATCAAAGCCATAATGAGCCACATCCAAGGGGCGCTGGAAAGTCACCGTCACCCACATGTGCCCTTCATGGGGGGACCTGGGAGGTGGGTGGGGTGAGGGTGAGGGAGGTAAATCAAGGTTGGAAGGGAAAAGGGGGGGTGGCGAGGGGAAGGAATGTCAGGGGTAAATTCAGCAGAATGAACGACAGAGGGAAGCGAACTGGACCCTCTGAGGGGAAGGTTCGTGTCCTCACGCGTTGCTGCATGTGTGTTTGGTCACATGCACGTGGCTGCTCTGCCTCCCGCCTGCCCGTCTGTGGGGTGTGACGGCGGCTGCTCGTGGGGGGTTCTCCGTGGTCTTCACGCGGGGAGGGGCCGTAGCGGGGCCACGGTCGTGGGCAGCTGTGCATGGCGTGCGGCTCCTGGATGGGCGTTGCGCCCGCCGTGTCCTCTGCCCTGCGGGAAGAGGCCTTGTGTGTGTAGCCTGGACTGTGAGGGGCCTGGAACGGGCCGCCCCTCAGCGAGCAGATCTTGCTTCTTGCTGGCCAGGCGGCTGCGTGTGGAGCAAGTGTGGGACAGTCTCCGCGTCCTGCTGCACCCGGAGCTGCCTTCACCGCCACCACGCGACCGTCCCATGGCAGGGCGTGTGGCCGCGGGGGAGAGGCTGGGCGGAGAATCTTCCTGTGTGACGTCCCCTGCTGTTTCCAGGCCCTTTAAGTCAATCTCTCCGCGACGTTGTGGGGACGGAGGCGTCACTGCTGCTCTTTCCTGTAGTCGGGCACGGCATGACAAAGGCTGCTCTGGTGAGGTGAGAAACGCCCGCGTTACCACCCGTCCCGAAAGGGTAATTTATCTTCCAAAACGGGCTCTGGGAGCCTGGTTTGGGCCCCGCTGTAAAAACAAGAAAATAAATCAGGGTTCATGTTGGTAAAAAATGTTGACATCTGTCAAGTGACCTCAAATACATCTTTATATCAGATAAAATAACTTGACATATCTCTTCCCGGCCTTGATTAAATATTGTGACTCATTTTACAATTACACTGACAGTCCCTGAGTGTGGAGTTGGGGAAAAATCCCAAGCTCACGTCCACAAATAGGCAGATGTCGGCACCACCATCATGTTAGTGCGAGAGCCTTTAAGATGTCAACAGTGTCGCTGACAAGTTACTGAATTTCTACCTGACTCATATCTGTCATCATGTTCAGGAGAAAAGGCATAACATTCTGAATTGAACAATAAGTGTAATTTTTAATTCCCTCTGGAATGTCTTCTACACCATCCAATTCTATTGATGACTGTGATTTATTCAGCGCCCAGAACATAATGAGTGTGCTGTTGCTCTCCCAGGTGTGAGGCAGAAATCATCATGTGTCCCATGTAGCAAAACCTTTGATCAATATATTAAAATTCAATATCTTTGAGCATCGTAAATTACAAGAGAATGTGTTTTCTCTCCTTTAGCCTCAGGCTGACAGGGCAGTGGGACATAACAACTTGGGCCCCGTCAGCATTAGTTGTCATGATTTACAAAGTGAATGGTTTAACTATGGCACATTCTCCAGTCTAAAATGAAGCTTGATCTGAAAACTCTCAAGTGTGAGTGGATTCTCCCCTGCAAACAGCTGGGGCAGATACCTGCAGTCTGGGGGGAAAGTTCCTGTTGCCGTGTCGAGTCTCTGTCCTGAGGTTGTCCCCATGGAGGGACAGAGGGCGTCCAGGCCTCTCCATGTTTGGGGCTTGTGGGGAGACTGAGCACTCACAGGATGTTCCACCCTATCCTGTGCCGCCTCATGGACAGAGCAGGGCCTCAGGGCTGGGCTATTTGAGCTCTGGTGCTGGTGTCCATGGGCTGGACACTGTCCAAGATCCATCCATCAAGTGACTTTACTCCAGAGGGACAAGCACCCTTGTTCAGGTCACGGTCTTAATTGGTGTGGTCCTGTGGCACATCACAGTGATAATTGGTGTATGAGTGTGTCAGGGGCAATTTTGCTGGTGGATTCCTCTGTAGGAAAGAATGTAACTTACCCTGTTCTCCAGGCCCCATCCCCTACCCTGACAACCCTGGGACCAGGATGGCCCCGTCATCAGAGCCAGGACAAGCCGCATCCACAGGGAGCAGGAAAGTCACCGCCACACCCCGTGGGCCCTCCTGGTCCTGGCAGGTGGGGGGAGGCACTGGCAGGGCGGCAGGCAGTGTGGGGGACAGGACGAACAGGACAACAAAGACACCCCGGACCTGGACGAGACGGGGCAGAAACTGGACCCCGAAGTGCAAGTTGTTGGTGCCACAGCAACTCTCCCTGTCCTGACGCTCCTGCCGACCCCTCCAGTGGCCTGAGAGTCTGACTTGCTTCTGCTGTCGCCTGGACATCGCTTTCATGTGGACAATCCAGGCCCGGGTGCGCACAGGGTGGACATAGTGGGCCTGGGGTCCCCTAGGGTTTGGAGGGGATCCGTGGCCAGCCACGTCGGGGAAGGACAGGGCTCAGGGGACACTGAGGAACCTGCATGTGAGGAGCCTCCTCCAGACATGTGACTGGCGGGAATCTCTCTCTGGCGTAGGAGCCAACCTGACAGTGGTCAGCACAGAGCTGGCCGGGCCCGGGGTAGCTGCATGGACCGTGAGGCAGTCGCAGGATGGATACAAAGTGACTCAAGTCTGTTTCCTCCCCTGATGGGAAGTGACATCTTCATATGTGGTCCCGTGTGTGTCCACGGCACGGGAGGACACACATGACAAGTCCCAGAATGTCCCAGATGCATTTTCGCCTTTGACTGAAATGCAGATATTTGTGCCCAAAGGGCTCTGTGAGGCGGACACGGTCCCGAGGGCAGTGCGGGGCGGGGGGATGTCCTGTGGCTTCTGCTCAGGGCCGGGGCTGACGGAGGCCGGTGTGAGGGACATGTGCTGCCCAGGGGTGTCTGTCCATGGCCGCAGACGTGATGGCACCTGGTGCTTCTCCCAACTCCAGGGATCCCCACAGGCACCTTTAGGGGGACAGACACTGCGGCACCCCCCACCCACCAGTGCTCCCTCATGACCACCCCCTCGTCCTCATGGTCGACACATGACCGCCCCTGGGGGATCCTGCTTTTGGGAACTGTGACCACCGATGCTCTGGACCCTGCACCATCCGGGAGACAACTCTGCCTTTCCCTGCTCTGCCTCATGGTAGGGGCAGGCGGGGTCAGCACCAGACAGGGTGTCTTTTTGGCCTCAGGGAGAAGGTCGTGGAGGGCTGGAGGGGTTTGGGTGCTGCTCAGCTGGTTGTGGGGCATCCCGCTTCCTCACTTAAACCCTTCTGGTAGAAACGCCTCAGCCCATGAAGAGAATGGTCAGTCCTTCCTGCTCACCCCGGCTGAAAAAAGCTTCTCAGCCCAGGAGCACATCCCCACATTTAATCTCTCCAGACTCAGACTCGAGTCTGTCCACCTTGTGGACCCCGGTGTCCAGCACCCGCTGAGGGAAGGGGACACGGTTGAAAGTGTGAGGAGTGGAAGCATCATCACCGGCAGCTCTTAGAGGTCCCAGGAAGCAGCAGGACAGCGTCAGCCCAGCTTATTAGATGTTAACGCTGAATAATGACACGATCACTCCCTGGACTCCGCTGGCCCCGCAGGATGAGCCCATCCAGAGACAGGAACAAACACATCCGTGCGGGGTCAGGACGTGCCAGCGAGCACAGAGCAGTGTCTGGGTCTGAATCCACCTGCCTGTGACTCTGCAGGCACCGGGCGTCCTCCTTAGAGACTGTCTGCCTAGGCCTGGCCATTGTCTGGACTGGTGTGCTACTCCCTGTTGTGGTGGGGACAAACATGTGTGGATGGACACTCGCCCTTGTCAGAAGCGTGGGGTGCACGTGGCTTCTCCCCGTGAATGGCCTGTGCTCACAGCAGTTTCTGAGGCCCAGGAGCTCTCTAGTGTGTGTGGGGGGCACTTGTTTATTACCCTTGGGGTTCCCTGTCCTTGATTTGTGGAGGCAGGAGGGTGTTCAAGTGGGTGTTCCGTGGAGTGTGAGGGGGCACCGCACACACAGAGGGGCAGCAATGGAACCCCAAAACAAGACAGCAAAGACTTGGCAAATGGCAATTATTAACATGACCCCACATCGCCCCACTCGCGAGGTCAAATCCTCTTCTCAACAGAGTCTAGAGGCTTCGCTCAAAGCCAAAACAGAAAGTGTGTAAAGGCCGTGGCCCAAGAGTGATGGAGGCCCAGAGGTGAGAAATCTTCCTTCAGGGTCTTTCAAGGAAGGATGAGCAACTTGAGGGACTTCTCCAACAGATTTTATTCTGAAATCTCAATGTACACGGTCTGGCGTTTAACATGCATTTTAAAGAATGTTAAAAAAACATACATTTCATAAGAGAAATGTTGTCTAAACTGAGTCTGTTTTGATCCATCAGGCGTGTTTGGAGACACCATGTCCTGCTGCAGAGAGGACGCATGAGGGGGGAACCCCACCCAGCTCATGTTCTCAGGGTGGGTGAGCAGCCGGAAGACACCAGCATTTACAGCACAGAAGCTGCCCGAGAATAAAATTTACACATATTGCCATGCTTCACTTTACATGATGTAAAAAGTGACATAATCCCCGACGTACCAGAAAGTGGGGGAGAAGACCTTGTGCACGACATCCACAAACAACCTGGGAAACTACAGGAACCCCTAAAAATAAACACAAAAGCAATGAATGTCTGAAACATTTAAAATTTAAAGGTGAAACATAGTTCTTCAAAAATAATTTGCATTAAAAAAACCACACCCTCAAGGTGCTATAACCAGATCAGACAACGTATCAATGAACATCAAGTGCAGGTTCAATCATAGATTCAGATTCCTCAGAAACTTCCATCTGTCTGCAGAGATACATGTCAAGTGTAATTTCTACTTGACCTTTGAGCAGAAGCATGAATGTCTCTCAGAGGATGTTGCCCGATCAGGAATCGGGGGGGTGGGGCCCAACAGCTGTCTCCCTCCCTCCACAGGGACGGTCCTCAGGGGAGACACACACAGGCTGTGGGAACCAAGCCCCAGGACAGGGGTCCCATGACCATATGCTCCCCAGAACAGACCCCTTACCACTGCTGGATTTCATGAAAAAGTTGGGGATGTGTGAGTTCTAGAACATGCTTCCACATACCAGCCGCAACATTTAAAGAACAGAATCCATATCATGTATGTCACATGGATGGGTGTTTTGGAAATGGCTGCCTTATTTTAGGAAATAGAGATTTGAAGAACAGAACAGTGTTAAAATTTGCAAAGGTAATCTGTTATGAAAAGTCTTGTTTTACTTTAAAATGGTGACTGGTAAGAGTTGTAGGGAAAATCTAAATAACTGCTGGGTCCATATACGTAGATGGTGTCATTAATTAATGAAAACAATGATATCTCAAATGCTGGTTACTGGCCCTTCATCAGTCTCCCCACAGCTGACTTCATGGCTTGGTTCCTCAGACTGTATATGACGGGATTAAAGGTGGGGGTCACCATCATGTAGAACATAGAAATGACCAGGTCAGACATGGATGGGGTCTCTGAGGTCGGCTTCAGATAATCAAAGCTTCCAGTGGAGAAAAACAGCACCACAACCAGCAGGTGGGGAAGGCAGGTGGAGTAGACTTTGGCCTTCCCTTCTGTGGATGGGGTCTTCCTGACAGCAGAGAAGATGTGGACATAGGAAATGACGATGAATATGAAACAGCAGATACTCCAGAACACACTTATAAGAATGGGGACAAGTTTCTTCATTAGATTTCCTGAGCAGGAAATAGCCAATAACTGGGGGATGTCACAGAAGAACTGGTGGACCACATTGGACCCACAGAAGGACAAGGAGAAGGTTTCAGCTGAGAGCATCAAAGAGATGACACCCCCACCCAGCCAGGACACAGCTGTCAGCTGCACACACCCTGTCCCTGCTCATGATGACGTCATAGTGCAGGGGGTGGCAGATGACAGCATAGTGGTCATAGCTCATCACCATGAGCAGTGTCAGCTCTGCACCTGCTGACGTAACCATCATGAAGACCTGGACGACACAGCCCTGGAAGGAGATGGAGCTGCTGTGCCTCAGAGAGTTGGCGATGGACTTGGGGACCATGGCTGAGATGAGGCAGAGGTCCGTGAAGGACAGACTCCTCAGGAAGAAGTACATGGGGGTGTGGAGGTGCCGGTCCAGGGTGATGATGAGGACGATGATCCCGTTCCCCAGCAGGGCGCACAGGTAGACCAGGGAGAAGAGCAGCGGGTGCAAGAAGCCCATGGTCCCCTGGGTGGGGAAACCCAGGAGGATGAATTCTGTCACAATGGTGAGATTCGTCACCCCCGGAGCCATCATCAGTACCAAAAAATGAGGAAGAACACATTGTCATATCTTCCAATGTTGAACACAAAATTGGTTATGAACATACAACAGTCGTGCAATCTATGCTTTATCGTTATCTGAGCAAATTTTTATTTTTACTCATGTGAATATGCTATTGATGTATTGTACCAACATGTGTCTATAAATTTGTGAAGAAATGAATTTTTAAATGACCATGATAAAACCAATATCAGGCCTCTCAGTGAACTGAATTGACAACTAATGCTGACGGGGCCCAAGTTGTTATGTCCCACTGCCCTGTCAGCCTGAGGCTAAAGGAGAGAAAACACATTCTCTTGTAATTTACGATGCTCAAAGATATTGAATTTTAATATATTGATCAAAGGTTTTGATACATGGGACACGTGATGATTTCTGCCTCACACCTGGGAGAGACCACACGTGCCCAGTCATTCCCAGGCCTGCGGCTTCCCCTCCTGCCTAGGCCCAGTGTCTCCGCCCATCACACCTCCCAGAAGTTGTCCAGGGCACATTCCCAGAGGACACGTGACCATGCCCAGCCCCTCCCCACCCTGGAGATTCTGTCCCTGCTCCTCTAGCATAGCCCTGGTCTGGGGAAGCCCCACAGGATGTGTGTGCAGGGAGGTGGGGTGTGCGGGTCCCTATTTTCCTGCTCCTCAGGACCCGACACTGTCCTGAAACTGAATGATCTGGGCTCGGCATCCCCGTGCAGAGTGTCCTGATGCCTCCTCTGTCAGATTCCTCCCCCTGTGGCCTCACTGCTGCCTCCTGGTCCATTCCCTCGTCTCCTCATGTCCCTGCCCCTGACTCCCCCTATCTGAGGACCCAGAGACCACGTTTCCCACAGAGTCTCTTCTTGGGTCACACCCACACGTCCCTCCTGCAGGATGGGCTCGTCCACCCCGGGTCCCTTCTGGCCCCTCTGTCCCCCTCAGACTCATGCACGTCTGTGCAGGGAGGAGGCCGCTCCAGGGCTGAGCCGGATGGTCTGTGTGCGTGGCTGTCCCTGCTGGTCCCAGGGCCCCGGGTCCCTCTGGTGCGGGTTTGTTCCTCACCCAAGGCCCGTGTGTGAGTGGGGACACCTGGACACGGGGCAGCCCTGCCCACTCCCTCCCCCAATCTCACCCTCTCCTAACTCTGTGGGGTGACGCAGGGACAGGCCCTGGGGAGGCAGGACTTTTAGGAGAATATAGTAATATAAAATTATTGCCACACATTGGTGGGAATAATTCCAGAAATTTCATGAATACACAAAAATAAATCAGGGTACGTAGTTGTGAAAAATGTAGACATCTGTCAAGTGACCTTAAATATATCTTAAAATGGATAAAATAAGTTGACATATCTCCTCCCAGCCCTGATTAAATACTGTGACTCATTTTACAATTACACCGCCAATCCCTGAGTGTGGATTTGGGAAAAATCCCAAGTTTATGTCCACAAATAGACCGATGTCGGCGCCACCATCACGTTAGTGCCAGAGCCATGAAGATGTCAACAGTGTCGCTGAGAAGTTATTCAATTTCTACCTGACTCATCTGTTATGTTCAGGAGAAAAGGCATAACATTCTGAATCGAACAATAGTGTAATTTTTAATTCCCTCTAGAATGTCTTCCTCACCATCCAATTTTGTTAATTCTTGTTATTTTATTCAGTGTGCAGAACACACTGAGTGTGCTGGTGCTCATCCCAGGTGTGCATCAGAAATCGTCACATCTCCCATAAGTCACAATCTTCTAATATGCTCATTCTATTAAAAGTCAGTATCTTTGAGGGCTCCCTGGTGCCGCAGTGGTTGAGCGCTGGGTTGTGAAGCTGCCCGTGGCCTCTGCGGCACCGTTTCATCCCCGGCTGCTCCCCGGCCACTGGAGGAGGGTCCCACATGGGCGCAGACCTCTCCTGCCGCCCGCTGCTCCCCTCAGCAGTGCACTTCAGTTCTTCTGCCTGCTCTGCTCCCCACTCTGGCTCTGGTGAATTCTCTCACCCTCCCGCGCTTCTGACTTTACCCAGTGAATGTTTAAACAAAACAAACAAACAAATAAATAAATAAATAAAACATACATCTATTAAAAAAAAAATCAGTATCTTTGAGCATCGTGAATTACAAGAGAATGTGTTTTCTCTCACCGAGCCTCACCCAGGCTGACAGGGCAGAGGGATATGATGACTTGGGCCCCGTCAGCATCAGTTGTCGTGATTTACAAAGTGAATAGTTTAACTGTGACGCATTCTCAAGTCTAAAATGAAGCTTGATCTGAAAACCCTCAAGGATGAGTGGATTCTCCCCTGCAAACAGCTGGGGACAGATACCTGCAGTCTGGGGAAAGTTCCCGCTGCCGTGTCGAGTCTCTGTCCTGAGGTTGTCCTCATGGCAGGACAGAAGGCACCCCGGCCTCTCACTCCATGGTCGGGGCTCGTGGGGAGCCTCTAAGCACTCACAGGATGTTCCACTCCATCCTGCGCCACCTCATGGAGAGAACAGGGCCTCAGGGCTGGGCTATTTGAGCTCTAGAGCTGGTGTCCATGGGCTGGCCACTGTCCAAGATCCATCCATCAAGTGACTTTACTCCAGAGAGACAAGCGCCCTTGTGCAGGTCACTGTCTTAATTAGCGTTGTCTTGTGGCTCATCCCAGTGATCATTAGTGCCCTGAGTGTGTCAGAGGCCATTTCCTTAGTTTTTACCCCTGTGAGGACAGAACCTGGTCCCCCTCAGGTCCATCACCCTCTGACCTCCGCGGACCGGACCGGGGTGGCCCCATGGTCAGAGCCAGGATGAGCCCGTCCACAGGGAGCAGGAAAGTTGCCGCCACCCATGAGCGCCCTCCTGGGCCTGGCAGCTGTTGGGTGATGTGCTGTGGGTGGGAGGGGCCAAGTGGGGGACAGGGCGAGCAGGACAATGAGCAGACACCCAGACCGGGCAAGACGAGGCAGAGGCTTGATTCCATGAAGTGCGAGTGTTGGCGCCGCATCTACTCTCCCTGTCCTGATGCTCCTGCCGGCCCCTCTAGTGCCTGAGAGTCTGACTTGCTGCTGACCTCGCGTGAACATCACCTTCATGTGGACAGTCCTGCCTGCCTGGCATGGGGTGGACACGACTGGGCTGGGGTCCCCTGGGGGGCGGGGGGTCTGGCTCTGCCTGTGCCACCCAACTCTCGGGATCACCATGGGTGCCGTTTATGGGGACATACACCTCACCGCCTGCCTGCTCATGTGCCCACATGTCCCCCTGCCTCGGCCTTGCAGATGACACATGCCTACCCCTGGGGGATCCTGCCTCTGGGCACTGTGACAAAGAACCAGCAGCAGGACTCTGAGCCCACACGGGGAGGG